ATTTCTTTCCCTGATACTCCTATGATACTTTTTTCAAATCTCAGAAATATATCTCTTAAAACACACACACACACACACACACACACACACACACACACACACACACACGAGAGAGAGAGAGAGAGAGAGAGAGAGAGAGAGAGAGAGAATGAGAGAGGATCTATGCCTGTGTTCAATATAAAAAGGGGTTTTTACGATGGTCAAAATGAACATGGATTGTGACCATATAGTGCTTACAATCTGGCAGGGAAGTCAACATTATCAGACACCTCCACAAAGAGACATACAATTGTAACGAGTTATAGCTACACGATGTTAAGAGAAGATAATAGGGTCAGGCATAGCAAGGAAGGCTTCTGTCAGGAGGTGACTAGCTTGTTGATATACTAGGCAAAAAATAGGTGACAGCAATGATCTCCTTAGGGAAAAACAAACAGATGCAAAGACCTAAGTGGGAGATCACATGACAGGGAAGAACCTAAGGACTTCTGGTGGTTCCTGGAATCCAGGAAGGGAAGGGAGCATTGTGGGATAAGTTGGGTGCATTTAGAAAAGTGCTAAACCGCAAGAGCATGTAAGTCATGATAAGGAACTTAGTCTATAGAGAGATATGACGTCTCAGTCTTGTGTCTCTAAATCTCTCTTTGGCTGCTTATGGAGAATAGACAGAATAGGTGCCTCTGTGTCTATAATAATTTAGGAGCCTCTGGAGTAGCCCAGGGGCGACATTATATTATTTGGGACTGGGAAATGGTGGTCCCAAATGGAAAAAAGTGGATGAATTTCAGAAGATTTTTTTTGTAGGTAAATATGACCAGATTAGGTGACAGAATTTGTGGAATGAGGGAGAGAGGTGACAAGATGATGCCTATTTTTTTATCTGGTAAATTGTGAAGTCATATACTGAGCTCAGAAATGTCTAAAGAGTATATTTGGAGGGAGAACCAAGTGCTTAGTTTGCAGCATGTTAAATTTAAGGCACTTAGGAAATTGGATGTATCAAACTGGACCCAAAATACATACATTCATGATAGTAATTATAAACTTTGCTTTCTTTAAGAATTTTGCACTCTTCTTTTTAAAATGAGCACTGCATAGTATAACATGTTTCCTCTTTGTTCTACCTTTTGGAATTGGGATTACTAAACCTAATTCATGTAACCACCTTAGTATTCATGGTTAGCATATTATGGTAACACTAATTTCTAACTGTGCTTTTGTGGCTCAAGCGTCTGGTATGATTTCAAGTATATAAATATATACCTAAAGGTATTAAGCATAAAATATCGATCTGGTTGAGAGCATATACAATTTTTAAAGTGTATCAAATAGATAGTATAAGAATAAAAAATAATGTTTATTAAAAACTATTAGAAAGTATCAAATAATGTTTGCAATTATTATGATAAGTCAACTAATGTTATTAGAATTGATATTTACAAGTCTTAAACATCAGGAAATTTGTTTCAGCAAAATAAAATTATTTTAAATATTACATATGAAATGTTATTAAGCAAACCTTAATATATAGAAGGCATATTAGTTTTATAGAGTGACCATCATTGCTATTATGTGTATAGTAAATTATCTTTAGATATATATGGATCTATTTACACAGGCATACACATCTCCGGTTCAGACATTATTGTTTAATGTTTAAATTCATCAGTGCTTTAGTTAAACCAGAAACAATAGCAGAAACAGACAAAAGTACTATTTTACTGACCAAGACTAATTGAAAATGCCACAGTGAGAAACATAACCATCATAATAACCACCACCTCTTCAACTGTCCTGCACTAATAACTAATGGATATCCCATTGCCTCATTATTGTACTACTTCTCCATTCATTATTTCCTCCAAGAAAGTTCCCAGTGTTCCATTTATTTTTTAAAGGGATTTAATGGATGTGCTATGAATTTTCAATGAGCTATTTGAAATTTGGGGAAGCTAATTAGGAATGTATTTACTTTCTCTTTTTTTCAGGGTGATTAATTCCATTAAAGAATTCAGCCTAATGTTACTCCAAAGAAAAAATAGGAAGGGAAAAGAAGATACTACTTCTACGGACTAATGGACTGCTAATTAAAAAAATTGAATTAAGCATTAACTCAGAAGAGACATTTTCAATATATAAATTATTTCTGTTTAGCCTTCTATTGCCAGGTTAATTAAGTAAATCCTTTGGCCTTATTGCCATTAGTAAATGAAAATGTATTTGAATTAACTAAGTCTTATGATTTACACAAGGGAATCTATATCAGTAAATATATTTCCTTTGCTAAGAGCTTTCATTACATCAGATGTTTTATTTTTAAAAAGTCAGCCTTATTCATGGAAAACAAAAATTCGTTAATTATCTAATTGTTGGCCAGATAAAATCTCTGGAGTTTCTTATGTGGTTGCTTTTAAGAAACAAACCCTATACATTTCCATGTTTTCCAAATGTGTGAATTCAATCAGGCTTAGATGGGGTCCTCCATTTCTTTAAGGAAAGTAAAAGATGAAAAATCTAGACTATCTTCCTCAAGTTTCTTTATTTAATAAAAAAAACTCAAGGACCTAAGCAACAAAAGCAATTCTTAAGATAAATGAGTAAATCATGTACCAAAGGAGTACAAGGTAATAAAATATACATAGAAGAAACCTACGCTAAAACAATGACTTCTTATCTGTCTTCCACATACTTAGACTCATCATTTTATGCTACACTTATAGCTATAATAAATTAATATAACCTAATATATCCTTTTTGTTTACCTCTTAAAAGTGGTCCTTCTACAGTATTTTGAGCACACTAGGAAAACGTACTGGCTGCCTGCTTTAAGACTTATGTAATCCATAGCACCATGATTCAGAAATAAATTCCTAAACAACAATCTCTATGTTCTCTGAAGGGCATAGCCATTTCTATTGCTGGCATACTGAGCTGTAATATGCTGGAAAATAAACTAAGGTTATTACGTGTCTTCTACCCTTCCTCTCAAGGAAATTTCAATTGCTAAGCACCTAATTACCAAAAGACAATATCAGTTCTAACAAACCTTGCTCTTTATAAAAATTCATCCACAGCATTTTCTGTGTGGTGACATTTTGATAAAAATATATTCCTAAGAGCAGCAAGAGATGCCTATATCAAATAGTGGGGAGAAGGAGGGATAAAAAGAAATATGTCAAATTTAAACTAAGTAAACTATAAAAATGGCAAAACAATAGAATCATAGGTATGAACCAGGAAAGTAAGGAATTTTCTAGAGAAATTGTCTTGACTTTTCAAATCCTATGAAAATAGCCATGTAATTAATGCATTTATCTGATTTATCCAGTAATTAGAAAGCCCAAAAATATATATGTAGCTTAGAATTTAATTTGTCTCCTGATTTCAATTCATTTTCCTATATGTGATTTCCCTTTTCTTCAGTTTTTTTTCAGTATTAATATTTATAAGCAGCCACAAAATCTCCTTCAATGACACAAAAGGAATATGTCAGTCAATAATCCAACCAATCAGGAAAAGTTTTATTTCTAGTTCCACCCCCATATCTCCATATACCACAAGTGATCAAAGTCATAGAATAAATGCTTGATTTTTTTTCATACTCACCTACAGATATGTTTATTGATTTTAGAGACAGGAAGAGAGAGAGAGAGAAACATCAATGTGAGAGAGAAGCATCAACTGGTTGCCTCTTGTATGCACCCCAACAGAGGATGGAATCTGCAACTAAGGTATGTGCCCTGACTGGGAATCAGACCTACAACCTTTCGGTGTATAGGATGACTCTGCAACTGAGCCACACTGGCCCGGGTGAGTGCTTGATTTTTATGAATCAAAAGGCCAGGGATTTTATCTCATCTTTACAAATCATTAGTCAAGATACTTTGATAAAATACTTGTTCATTCTGCATCTGTTTACTCACATGCAAACATTAGTATTTCAATCTTTCCCCTGTCTATTCCTCAAAGCTGCAAATATAAATTTTGGCAATGCATTGTGAAACAATCCTAAAAAATTAAAAAATTCCATAAAGATATAGGTCATAAACATAAAAAATTATATATTTTGTATCTCCAGAAAGATGACAAAAAATAACAATTAGTGAATAATGTTGGTTTTAATTTGTACATTAATTTATAAGGTTTTTTAGTAAACCTCTCCTATGTGGTTTTTTTGGGAAGACATTGCCTGTTTTTTATTGTGGACACAAAACATTTAGGATATACTCTACACTTTCTAATTATTTTTATATTGCAATATGACATGAGTTGGATAGAGAATGTTTAGATACAATAGGATGCTAAAATGTAGAAAGAGAATTCATTACTGAAAATTCCATTTTTTGATTCTATAGTAACACAAGGCATAGGATACATATGTGACTAGTCTTAGTCATTATCTGGTGTTCAATTAGCAAAATGTACAGAATTTCTTTTCAAGTCAGCAATTGTTCACTCTAAGGATTGTTTCCCAGCATAGGCAATATATGCTCAAACATTTAGCAGAGTTTCTAGAACATAGCTGATGTTGAGTAAAAATTAGCTTGCTTCTTCTATTTCTGATGGTAAAATAAGTAAGGCTATCAGGTTTGTTTGTTTGTTTGTTTTTATACTAGCAAATCCACCTTTTTCCTGCCAATAATTTTACTAGAAATAAATAACACTATGTAAGTACTTGGTATGTACTTTTTCATTAAAAACCCAATAGATCTATAAGTTATTATTTATCATTAAGAAATATGGGGTGTCCCAAAAATGTATATACATGCTTTGAATAACTATAAAGGCAGTGATTATTAAAATACATTTCATTTTCAAAATTGAGCTCTCAGCTGTGAAAGTGTATACACATTTTTTGGGACACCCCGTATAAATTTAGCTTTGAAACACAATTAGCAATGAATTATTTGCAACCACTGAAGTCAGCAAAAATTAGGACATTCTTTTTAACTGGAAGGAGCTCCCATTGGCAATGATCAAACTGAAGGCAATTAACTTACTTCTGGAGCCTGAAGAGTTCCTCACTGCTGTGAAGGAGTCGGCACTCTGCCTGGCTGCTGCAGAAGGCGGGCAGGGTGAGAGCATCTCCAAAACTGAATCTGAGGCTGGTGTCAGAAGTAAGGGTGCTCAGCTACTGCATGGCTTCCCGACACCTGGCTGAATGGTTACAGGGACTCTTCAAAGGAGACAAGCACAAAAAAGGTGTATCAAAATATGTTTAGGAAGTATCTTTTATAAATATAGTTGCTGTTAACTGTGTGATCAACCTCAAACTATATCAGGAATATCACTAAATGGAATTTAAATAGATTTGCATAATGAGGCTTTCCAGAGGAATGTGCAATATGCTCTGATTTCAATAGATATGTTGCATTCTGGTTTTCATTTTGGAAGGAGTCTTCTTATCTCATAATTGAAAATAGCTTAAACAATCAACAGATATCTAGTTCAATTCTATTGATAGCATTTCCATTAATTCAACTTGCAAGCGAATGTTAAAAAATGTCCTTAGTCAACAAATGTATAATCATCACCTACTATGCACCAGATACATGACGCTGGGGATATATCACCGAAATGAAGCTCTTAAATCCTGCCCTCATGAAGCTAATAGTCTTATGTTGCATTGCCTGTATTTTCTTCAATAGAGAAACTATTTCAACACACAAGTCTATGAAGGAAATACACAGGTATGCCACTTGTATTTTAACCTTATGTCAGAAGATTGTTGATTTCTATCTATGTCTGAGGGTTCTATGACAATCTAAATAATAATAGACCTAGCTTTTTAAGACACAATATTTAATCCCCCCATGATTCTTATAATAGAACCAACTAATACTCAACCACTATCATTCTTAATGCAGAAATGAGCTGAATTTATAAAAATGTTCTTGAAATGAATAAAAGAATTGTAATTTTACTAGGCTATGACTTATTTCATCTACAGAAGCAAAAGTGAGGAATAATACAATTCCAAAGTGTAACAATAAAAAAATAAAACATGTATAAGATGATACAAAGATAACTCAGGTTAAATTTATTGTTCCTGCTCTTTTCATTTTTAAAGATGTCTGAATGAACTTATAGAGTCATAATTTAACTTTCTAGACTTTTGTTATTATAAAGTGATTTAACCAAGGTCAATATACATGTATCTATGAGTGAATGTAGATATAATAAATTCCTAGAAGTAAAATGTTTAGAACAAGAAGCCTCGTTGTTTTTGAAACTCTGATTATGTCCTCTTCTTTGCAGTGAAGAGGTAGTATAAATCAAGAGTAAATTTGAATTTATAATGATGCTTTATATTATTGCATTATGATAGCAAAACATAAATATTTCCTATAATGATCTTAACAACAACAAAAAAGGATTGATGACCAACAGTGTTTACATGTATTCATTTTAGCTTGAAGAGTTTAGTAACTATTATAATCCTATCTAAATTCTAATTTCCCAGCGAAAGTTCTTTTTATGTATGGTTGCATTATTTATTAATGATAACATTTCCTTTTTATTATAATACTTTTATTAAGCACTTAATGTGTGCCAAATATGAAAATATGTATTATTGAAGGCAATCCTCTAAATAATAAAATGAGATAAGTTACATTTACCTATATACTGGTATAAGAGGCAGGAGTAGAAATATTTCAATTAACCTTTGGCAAGGTAATATAGCTAGTAGTTTACAAAGCTGGGGTTTTCACCTAGGTCTATCCGACTACAAATCAATGCTCTTATATCTTATGATGTAAGATTTCAGAAAAGCATAAATTCTATAGTAAAGAAACTTAATAAGGTGCTTTTTTTAGTCCATATACTTTGACCAGTGCAATGCCAAAAACAGTTAGATTGGAATTTGAACAATACAATTTTTCCAGTGTTTCTTTTTCTTCTTGATAGTATGCTGAAATAAAACATCTCATAAGAAATTCTGATCGATTTCTTAATTCCAGGTTGATATGTTGGCCTTCTTCCACAGTCTTAGAAAATCTGGCAACAGTTAATTTGTATGTACATGTATTCCCAAGAAATATGAATCTCCCTCTAATGATTATCTTGAATGATAATACTAAACTCTGAAAGAACTAAGGAAACTGGCAAAGCTCTGGAAGTTATTACAGAATATCTTTCATAAAACTGGAACTCATGACCCCTTCCAGTCCTTAATAGAAATTTATTCCCCTCTGTCTTTGTTAAGTGTTCATCAGTTGTCTAAACATATACAGATGCTCTTCTACTTTCAAGAGGTTATGTCCCCAAAAAACACATAATTTAAGTTGAAAATACATTTCAACTAACCTACCGAACATCATAGCTTAACGTAGCCTACCTTAAATGTATTCAGAACACTTCCATTGCCTACAATTGGGCAAAATCATCTAAACAATGAAAACACTGTAGAGTATTGGTTTTTTACTCTCATGATTGCCTGGCTGGCTGGAAGCTGTGGCTCATTACCAATGCCCAGCATCATGGGAGAGTATTATACCACATATCACTAGCCCAGGAAACGATCAACATTCAAAATTTGAAGCACAGTTTCTACTAAATGGCATCACTTTCACACATCATACAGTCAAAAAATTTAAGTTGGATATCATAAGTCAGGGAATGTCTGGTACTATCAGCAAAGGCAGGATGTTAACATCTTATAAACCTTGGTAGAATCATAGCAATAATCATATCACTCAGTTTCTCTTTTAAAATAAAAAAAACAGAAATAATATTACAAAAAGCTGTAATTATTTCAAGGCATAAAATCTGAAGGTACTAAGCATGGTGCTTTATTCTTTGTAGACATGCAATCATTTTGTTTCCCTCAGGAAGCTTTTCCTAAGGTTGCCCTGAGTTTTAACCCATTGAACACAACAGAAACCCTTGAAATATTCAAAGATAACAGTAACGTGATCTTAAATATTTCCATCAATTTAAAGATCCATAGAGATTGAACAATTATGAATCCACCAAACAGTATCATTACCAATCTCTCTCCATCTTATCTCTAATGGTAAAAAATAAATAACATGAGGAAGGTGTTTTACAGTAGTCTTTAATTATATTTACCTTGTGTGAAAATGATTAAACATTTAATCATACAGATGTTTGATTCCATGATGCAAAAAAGCCAGCTGTTTCACTGCAACTCATTTACTTAATAGTCATCCTATATAATAAAAGCCTAATATGCTAAGTGTCAGACTGTTCATTCAACCATTGGACCAGTCGCTATGATGGGCACTGACCACCAGGGGCAAACACTCCAACGGTAGGTTAACTTGCTGCTGGGGTCCCGCTGGACGGGCTGTGGAGGCAGCCAATTGATGTTTCCCTTTCTCATAGATGTTTCTCTCTCTCTCTCTCTCTCTCTCTCTCTCTCTCTCTCCCTCCCTCTCTCTCTCTCTCTCTCCCTCCCTCTCACTACCTCTCTCTCTAAAAATTAATAAAACATGTTTGCTTTTGTTTATTTAAAAGAGGAATAACTTAAAAACATTTAGGGAAGAAATATAGAATAAAATTGAAAATAATTTCACATTGAGTTTTTAAATTCCATAAATATTCAGAGAGATTCATATGATTGAATATGAAAATGCATTTGTGTTACTAAATAAAATGTAATATTATATACTCAAATATAGAAAAATGTTTACAAATTATTATATACATCCAGAATCCTATGAAAAATTAATGCACCACTAGAGCATTCATTGCTTAATGTAAATGTCACAGTGTAAATGAAAACAACTAATCATCCTTTCTTCTAATAGCAAGAGTTCAGCAGTTAAATAAAACATAACTCTTGGTGACCTGAAAATTTTTATTACTGCCTTTGTAATTTCCCATTCAACAACTCAAGAAAATAACTTTAAATGATGGGTATATTTCAATAAGAAACAACCCACGGTGAAGGGCTTTTCTGAGAGGGGCAGAGGATAAGTAGAGGTGAGGATGACTTTGAAATGTTATTAAGGATCTAACGTATTCACTAAATTGTATAATGATAATTTAAAATAATATTTTTCATTGTGAAAAAACAGATACTAGTTAGTAACTGATCTAGTAAAGACACAAAATGCACTATCATAATTTAACTTTAATTACAAAAAAAAAAGAAATCCTAATTACTGAATTTGGTTGCAAAAATCTAATACAAAAAATAAATAAAAGAAATGTAAAATAAGGCCTAACTAACTAAAGATTATAGAGCTAATTAAGTATTTTTCTTTTCATAGCTAACATTTTCTTAAATGACAGAATTAAAAGATTATAAATAGTAATAAAATTTTTAATATATAAATCATCCACTATATAAATTTACTCTGTTAAAAATTTGCTTAAAATTTCCTTGAATTTCTAAATTTTATTTTTCTTCCAAGATACAAATTTGATTGACATATCTTTTTTTTTAAGTGTATTTGCTACCAAGTTTATTTGCAGACGAATAGTACAACATTTACAAAACATATTTTGTACAATCAAGTCTGCACTGCTCTCACACATTGAGGGACAAAGGAAGACTTTGTCCTCCCAACAGCTATAAACAGCCCCGGATAATGAGTTTATAGAAAACACTTTCTCTTCCTTCAGCAAAAGAAATTATTTATGAAGCTGTACCGCCAGCAGTGGGGAGCAAGAGGAAAAATTACCTCAAGGAAAGCAACAGCTCCTTTGCTGGTGGGATCCGTCACTTTACAGACATGAAATATTCATATCAGAGATCTTATATTTCAAGAGGAGTGGGTCACATATCATAGCTACAACAGTAAGCATTTTATTTATTACCAACAGGGAATGAGAAGACTCTTCAGACACAAGATCTTACCCAGCCTTTTAGAGATCAGGGTCAGCATGACTTTCCCTCTAATTCAGTTTCATATTTATATCCATTACCTGCCTCTGAATGCCCTTCTTGATGCTCCACTCCAACCTTTGAGAGCTGCCTGAGGACTGTCCTGACATTAAGTCGCATTCCTAAGTACGCACCTTCCATGTGAGGGTTTGCCTCTTGGTATTTATGAACCTAGGGTTTTAGAGAAACAAACTAAGGAAACCAGCTATTCTCTTGAGCCCAGCTACTCTGTTCCCCCAGCTCTGAGCCAAAAGCCCAGTACAAGGAATAGGTCTGATAAATAATGAATCAGCATCTTGCTCAATTGGTGGCATTTAAAA